TGGCTGTTCACGGCTTTCGAAAGTAAGGCCCTGGGTCTTGCCTCGGGAGCCATCGTTGGGCTATAAGACTCAGCATCGTGAAGGCCCTTTTGGCTGTTCACGCTCCGTGGAGTGGAAGTGAGACTTTTAAATTCTAGCCTGGTGTGTTCCCTCCTGGGTTTCTCGTTTCTCCGTCGAGCTCCCGGAGCCTCGCTGGGTGTTAGGGCCCAACATCGTGGAGGCCTTTTTGGCTGTTCACGGCTTTCGAAAGTAAGGCCCTGGGTCTTGCCTCGGGAGCCATCGTTGGGCTATAAGACCTCAGCATCGTGAAGGCCCTTTTGGCTGTTCACGCTCCGTGGAGTGGAAGTGAGACTTTTAAGTCTTACACTATATCAAATTTACCACTTACAGCAATGCTCTAAGAACTAAAGAAATAGGGCCAAGACTAAGGCTGAGTGGTAGAGTGCTTGCCTAGCATGTGTGAGGCCCTGGATTTAATCTTCAGTACCAGAAATCAATTAATTAAAGTTAAAGAAATAGACTTCTGTTTGATGCAGCAGCCTGCTGGGTGATTATTTCAAGTATCCATCCAAAAACTAGATGCCAGTTAGTAAAACATAGCCATAAGTTTCTTACCAATAGGGTTGAATGCTGATCATTACTTTTCTGATAAGTAAATTATGTCTTGTTTATATATTAAAGCACTGCAGCAACAAAACAATGCCAATGTTATTAAAATTCTGTAACCCTAACTCTGCTCAATCACATCACACACCCCTAGATAAAAACTGTGGCTTTTCTGAAACCAGTCAGAGCAAAGCGATTTTTCTATGAAAATTACACCACTGATCCATTTGTCCTGTGTGTGACTATCTAGGAAGGAACATTATTCATTTGAAATCACTTTTATGTCTTCTTTCTCTAAAATGGATAACACACACAGAGAAAAAGAGAAAGGTGTGTGGTTGAACACTTAAAAAAACAAAACAGAAGAGAAACACACACACACACACACACAAATTAGCAACTGTATTTCTAGGAGGGAAATGCTGCCTTAGAACTGGAGCTAAGACACTGTCACCACTGATCCATTTGTCCTGTGTGTGACTATCTAGGAAGGAACATTATTCATTTGAAATCACTTTTATGTCTTCTTTCTCTAAAATGGATAACACACACACAGAAAAAGAGAAAGGTGTGTGGTTGAACACTTAAAAAAACAAAACAAGAGAAACACACACACACACACACACAAATTAGCAACTGTATTTCTAGGAGGGAAATGCTACCTTAGAACTGGAGCTAAGACACTGTACTTTTACATTTCATTTAGCTTTGCGCTCCTGGGAAGCCAATATAAATATAGAAATACATTGGTTATATGGCTCTTATAGATTAAAAATATATATTTACAGTTTTATTTCACTGATTTGCTAAACCATCACCAATCTGGCATAATTTTAGTTGAATGTTTTATTTTATTTATTTATTATTTTCTTGAGACAGGTCTCACTATGTAGTTGAGACTGCCCTGGAACTCACTATGCATCCCAGGCTGGTCTCCAACTCACAGTGATCCTCCTGCCTCAGCCTCCTGAGTGCTGGGATTACAAGCGTGCGCCACTGTGCCTGGCTCTGGTTGTATGTTTTATGTATATTTTTTCTTTCCAAAGAATAGAATGGATTGAATCTAGTAAGGACACATGCTTTTTAAAGAATATTTCAGGAAGTTTGATAAACTGTTGGCCTTGATCAAGAGAAAGACAGAGAAACCAAAATCTTCCTTACCTCTTCCAGTTTATCCACCCTCCCCACCAGTTTGGTGGTGACTGAATGCAGCTTCAGGAGATCCAGCCCATAGAAAGCACCTTCCAGCATGTCTATGATTGTGGAGAGCTAGGAGACAAGGGTAGGAGTTAGTCCAGGCTGGCGCAGACAGACCACAGGAAAATAGTTTCCTTTCAGGTCTCCATATTAGAGTCTCAATGAGGAGACCAGCAGCCAGGAATTCAGAGGTGGGCCTCAGAAACACGTGTGTATATGGGGATACAGACAAGACGGTAAATGTGTATCTGCCTTCTGTATGCGTGTATGTGCTTGCACACATACATGGATTTGTATGGGTTAGAAAATTGCAGTATCGCACAAGAGCAAGTAAACACAAGGTCTAGTCAGAGTCACAAACTGTGCCTCTTTTATGGAATCTGCCAGTTACCTACACACACACCTTTCCTACTAGCCTGTGAGCTCCTTCAAAGCCTCTTTATCTCTGTCTGCTTCAGGTATGCAGCTGAGCACCTGGCCATAACAGGAAATCTGTAAGTACTCAGCAAAGTGGCTACCCGCATCAATGCCTTGAGGACATGCTGCTGAAACCTTCAACTTTATCACCTACTAAGGACCCTAGAAAGTACCAGCAGGTTTTTCCTTAGGACAAAAAGCTGAAATGCAAATGTAATCTCAGTTACAGGGGAGCCTGAGACACCAGGAGTTTAAGACCAAGGCTACAAAGCATAATGCTAAAAAAAAAAAAAAAAAAAAAAAAGGCTAAATTCATTTTTTTTCAACCCCCTCCATCATACACCCAGTGGGTGAAGTGCACAAGGCTCTAGCAGCACCTAGAGTGCCCAGAGTACAGGCAAAGGGGCCAGATATTTAACCGGAGCCTCCCTGCCAAGTACCAGCCCCCTGGAGGGTTTGCTGGCTCACACTTTAGCAATCTCTTTTCTCCATTTGTCCCCTAGCCTTGCTTCCAGATGAGGAGTTCCACTTGGAAAAAAGAAGACCTCCTTTTCCCACATCAGGAGAAGATGGCTGGCTCAAGGGAAAGAGCCCTAGCTGGTCAGCACGTACTGTGCTAGTTTTCTGATTCCTAGAAATTTTTCCTATTGTTGTCCTACAATTCGCCCCAGTCCAATCCCAGAACCGAGTAACTGTGGCACTTGTTTCAGAAAGTAGTTTCATGGCAAAGCTGCAGCTCTGAGCAATGTGACTACTTCCGGGGGCATCTTTGTACTGATAAACACTCCTCTGCTTAGAGACACTAGGGACTACCCATCCCTGAGGGAGCAGAAGAGGCCAGGCACAGCAGGCACCCTCACGTGGCCGTTCATTCGTTTGTTTAGGCCTTGTGCCAAGTTCTCACCAGTGAGCAATGTGACTACTTCCGGGGGCATCTTTGTACTGATAAACACTCCTCTGCTTAGAGACACTGGGGACTACCCATCCCTGAGGGAGCAGAAGAGGCCAGGCACAGCAGGCACCCTCACGTGGCCTTCATTCGTTTGTTTAGGCCTTGTGCCAAGTTCTCACCACTTGTCACCTCATTTATTCTCACAGCTCCTCAAGCACATATTATTCCCAAATTTTTTAACCCACACAGGGTCACGCAGCAGTGTTTTGAACCCAAGCTTGACTCCAAAGCCAAGCTTATTTTACCACCCCTCTCCAAGTGGAGAGAGGCACATGGGGTCAAATGAAGCCCTCAGCCAGGTGGTGGGAATTTCTGGGTAGGATCCAAGCATCACTACCCTCCAGGGCATGATCGCAGGGTCAGCTGGATGTTAGGGCCAGGGCAAACCCCAGGCCTCCTTTCCCAGGGTCACTTCGACAATGATGCGAGGCTTGCACATCTCATGTCTCTCATCTCTTCAACGTACATGCTAGGATACTGGTAAACTGTGACAGCGATTTTCCTGGAGCACACTGCGTTCTTTTGGCCAGCCAAGCCTAGCAGCTGCTCCCTGCCTGGCCTCCCTGGCTCCATAAGGAGGCGCAGGCACGCTTTGCTCTTACACCTCAGGCTCCTCAGCTATAAATGACTGGTTTGTCAGAACATCAGCCTCAGGTCTGTACCCAAGACTCCAGGGAACAGGCCTGACCCCCTTCAAAAGCCCTGCCATCTCCAGCAATGGCCCTGTGCACTTGTGGGGCCCAAAGTGCCCTCATCCACAGCACTGCCTCCCACCAGTCCCTACCTTCAGGTCTCGGCTATCTGCCTCCCGAAGCTTCTGCAGTCTGAAGTCCCCCTCACAGGGATTGAGGGCGGATGGGGGAGCGACACAAGCACATTTGCAAGATGAGCCAGACGTGACGGTTTCCACAGTGTAGAAGTCTTCCTTCCTGGAGGTGCCTTCATTGATCCTCTGGCACGCATCTCGGCCCAGAGGTCTCACCACACACTTGCACTGACAGTCAGAGCCCTCAGACACGGCCTTGACCTTGTCGTAGTCTCCCAGCAGCTAGACACACACAGAAAATGAGCTGGAGGTGTGCAAACACTGGCATCCATCACACTCTGGAAAGGAGGCCATCTATTTACTTGGTCAAAGGTCCTGCACTAGCTGGAGACCTCAGACAACTCTGAACCATGGAGGAGTGAACAGGTCATCGCAATGCAATTTGCTGACATGGACATTTCCTTGAAGAGAGAGTTCAGCGCTTTTGGTCTGTCTTGGAAAGCAGTGTATTTCTCAAGGGTCTTAGTCTTTCCTCACTTAAAGGGGGAAAAAAAAAAACCAGATGAGCCCCATCATACACCCAGTAGCCTTCGCCTTCTGCTAGAATTCAGGCTTAGATTTATAAAGGAAAAAGAGAAGGGCCGGAGATTTAGCTCAGTGGTGGTGACCTGCCTCACAAATGCAAGGTCCTGAGTTCAATCACTGGTACCAGAAAAAAACAAAACAAAACACACACAATATAAAGGAAAAAGAGGAGTCACAGGAAGGACTGGTGTTCAAAGTTGAGGACTACTGGCTTTGCTCTTCCTGCATTCACTGAGGGCCTGGTGGGGACTATGGGAGGGAGGTGCAGAGAGAAGCACTGGCAGCCAGGCAGGCAGCCTGAGTGCAGGAGGCAGGTGAACAATTGTCACATGGACCACAGGGTGGGAAGTGCCCCTGAAAGGGAGGGAGAAAGTGCAGTGTGGCTGAGAGGGGCTCCAACTGGGAGCCAGGGAAATGGAGGAGGAAGTGTTATTTGCACTGAGCCTTGAAGGATGGGCTAGATTTGGAGAAAAGGGGTTGGAGAAAGGGAGACAGGTGCAGGAAGCAGTGAGCTTCTAGTGCAGCATCTGAACCCAAATCCCTGGCCAAACCCAGGATAGCAAACTTCCCATGCCTGCTGCTTCTACAGTGCGAAACATTTCCTCCTGGGCACTTGCTCCTACAGCCTCCCACGCAGGGGAAAATGCCAGCCTCGGCTGGCTCTGACCCCCTCACTGAACACTTACTGGGGAGAAGCCTCCCTCACAACCCTAAGTCCTCAAAGCCAGGACTCCCTTCCTAGTCAGGCAGAAGCGTTCTCTTCATCTGACTAATGATCCCAGCAGGCAGGCACTGAGCTTGTGTGAATGGAAATGTTCCTTGGGGTGCTGTCTGGGGGCAACAAGGCATGTAAATGTTTTCTTTGCAAAGGCTGGGTTTCATCTGATACTAATATCTGCATTAGGGCTGTTGTCAAACAAGAATGGATCAGTAGAAGAAAGAGGTCTAGCTCAGGGTGACTTAAGCAGCAGGTCATTCTGGGCTGATGTCTACTTTCTGAAACTCTGCCTAGATTCCTAAGCAACGGTGCTCTTAGAACCCTTGGGTAGGTTCCTTCCTTCCAGGAGGCTCAAGTTTCAGGACAGCTTTTGTTGATGCTATTCCGAGCCCCAGCGTGAGGGATTTTATGTCTTTTCGATTTAGGGTCAATGTGAGGTTATGGGTGGGCACAGGAATATATCCACATAATTATTAAAGTGAGGAGACCAGTGCTTGACAAATCCCAAAGAAGCAGATCGCTCTCCCTACAGAAGGGAGACAAGATCCAGGCTGAGGACGTAGTGGGGGTGCAGGCGACACTCTAGGGGTCCTTTCTCTGCCATCCCTCGCACATTGTCAAACCGGGTCTGGAGAGCCTGGAGCTCAACACTCCCAGAAGGGTCCCATACAGCTAGGAGATGCGGGGTAAAGAATAGCAGGGGCCTGGCTCTGTCCGCCTCCAGCTCTCTTCAGCTGTGTGGTCCTTGTCTACACCGGCACCAGCACATTTTAAGGTCCGAGTCCGATTCATAAATCGACATTCATAAATGTCGCACGCGACAAAGCCCATCCCTACCGCTCGCCACTCGGCCCCCACCGAGTCTGCCAGACCCGTGTGGCTCTGCATTTCCACTCTCCCCTCCCAGTACACAGGGCGCATGGGTTCCTCCCTTCACTCTTTCACCCCACACCTTCTGCTCAGTGCTTCTGCCTGGGGGTCTCCCCCTGGGTCATAAAGCGTCCCCCCAGTTTACGCCCTCCCGTTTCACATTCCACCTCTGACCAACAGCCACTCAAGCACGAGGTCCTTTCCACAATCCGTAAACCAAAAAACAAGTATTTCCTTTCTTCCCAAAGAGTCCCGTGCAGTCTTCCCTTCCCCTTACTCCGTAACCTTGAAAAGCCTCTAGATCTTTAGAGTAGAGCCCATGTCTTGCCCTTTAATAAATTACTCTCATACGTGAAAAACGAATGCCCTTCCCGTTGGTAGCGTAGTAGGGGGAAAGTGTGGCCCCCAATTGCTTCGCCCAGGGCCGATCTCTGGCCCCGCCACCTTCCTGGGCAAAGGTGGGTGGGCTCGGGACTGATCGTACCTGAGATAAAACGTTCTCCTGGTTGTCCGCCTCATTCTGCAGAGTCTCATCTTCTGTGGGCGCCACGGTCTGCGCATCTGGGGAATCGTTCGTCCCTGCGCGGGGAGTGCTGACCCCCCAGACTCGTGCCACAAGCAGAGCGAAGCAGAGAACCAGCGGCTGAGGCTTGGCCATGAGGGACACGACCACTGGGTCCTCAACCCCACCGGAGGACGGCCCGGGGCGCGGTCTCCCCGCAGACTGAGGCAGGGGGGGTGTGTTGGCTGGAGCGTAGAGTGAGTGCCTGCTCCGGCCCCTTCTAAAGCTGGGCGCAGCTGCGCGGGGCAGGAGGGCGCGCCCCGGAGACCCTGGGCATCTTCTGCTCGACCCGAGTAGCCAAAACTGCAGGGAGCGGGGCGCAGGGACGAGGTGGTGTCCGGAAGGCGGTTCAGATAGGAGGCAGGCAGGCGGGCAGGGGCGCGCGGCGCGCACTGCGGGGAACCCGGGAGCGCACTGGACC